CCCCGGAGCTTACCGTGTGCCGGGGGTTTGGAGAGGAGGCAGGAAAGGCACCGTGCCCGTGTGCCCGCCCCGCCGCCTCCTCTGCCGAGGGAAGCCAGCGGTGTGTGCAGGGGGGCCGTGCTTTACATACGTGCAGGAGCTCCGCGCCGCCGGCCCAGGTGCAGCTGCGGGCTGGGCACGACAGCCCCGTGGGCTCTGTGTGTCACGGGAAGGAGCACCGAGGTGGGGCAAGGACAAAAACAACGAGACAGAGCACCTCCCCTTGGGAAACGTGGCCCTGGTGTGCAGGGTCCGCTCTAGCCTCTGGATCCCAACATCCTCTTGGCGTACAACAAGCTGTGCCAGGGCCAGCTGGAGCATTTGTGCTCAGGCATGCTGGAAAAAACTAAAAAGCCCAGCCAGCATTACACAAGCTAAGGAGGCTTTTCCCATTTTCTGTCAGTATGGAATATTACTTTTCTGTCTTCCCATGAAAGCTCTCTGGTCCTGCTATGTGCTCACCGTGCAGTGACAAGGTGACAGTGCCATGCTGTGACTGGGCCTGTTTTGCTCCTGCCCTGTGTTCAGACTGTTGGAACACCTTGGGTGTTTGTTGAGGGCTGGCAGTCCTTGAGGCACCATCATTGTCCGCACTGGTCAGTTCAAAGCTCTTCTGAACCTCTGTGCTGGCCACTCTCCTAGTTTTGACAGCATTGCCCCGTTGTGGATTTCAATTTTTTTCCCCCACTGCTGTTTCTTTTTCTTGCTTTTCCAGAGATCACAGACGTGAAGCCAGGGCTGCATTTGCCTCAGCTCAGTAACAACCTATGGCTCATGTGGTGGTGGAGTATCTTTAAAGACAGGTGCTAGAATCAACTAATTAATCCTCATTCCCCTGTGGGACTGAGGGGTGACTCAGTGCCTCGTGCTGTTATGCTGAACAGCAGAGGATCAAAGGCACTGGAGCTGGGGAAGCCCTGGGATAGCACAGTCATTCTATGCCTGCACACCAGGCACCTGGAAAGGCTCAGTCTTGCACACTTTTCTCCAGGATTTTTTTTAGCCATGCAGGGGATTGAAAACTCTGCAATCTTAGAGACAAGGCTGGAGCTGCCATCACCTTGCACTGGAGGGGTAGTTTTTACCCTTTGAGGTTGCCTTTTTACCTTTTCATTACAACCCAACTTGGCCACCCTGAGCAATTCCCCCTCCTGACCTTCACTGCAGGTCCTTCACTGCACCCCCTGTGTATGTGTCTGGGTGAAAGGCAGGGCAGGGAGGCTTAGGCACTGCTGAAATTGAGCTGCGGTGGTGATTCACGTCCCTCCTGGACATTGTGATCCCCAGCATGCTGCATGTGCCAGCATGGCTTGGCAGCCCTGTAGAAATGCAAACAAACCCCTACACCTGGCCTTGGGCTGCCCTGGCATCCATCATGCTGCTGTGTGAGCTGCTCACAGGGAAGGGAAGGGGAGTTGCTTGCATGCAGATGTTGTGTAATGCAGACCTAGTTCAAACACAAGTTTGGAAGTTGGGAAGCATTTGCCCAGTCTAGGGGGAAGAGGAAGACCGTCTGGGACAAGGGCTGCTGCAGTGCATCTTCTGCTCTGTGTTATAAAGGAGATGAAACATGAAGCATGTGCTTTCTTCAAAACCTGGGTTTTACCCAGGTTGCATGTGGAGCATCACCTGTGAGAGTCCCCCTGAGTGTGCATGAGCTGTGGTTTGGCTGAGCTCAGTCACTGCATGGGACTAATACATAGTGATGTTGTCCTATAAATTATATAGTCGGAATGTTCACCATCTGCTCTGCGCTGAAAGCTGAGCATGATTGAGATCTTCCCCACTTCCCAAAGCTTGACTCTCTTGCTGAGCTTGAAATGTGTGTGTATATTTCCTGTAAGTGGTTCTGATTGAATCAGGTAAAGAGGGAATTTTTTAAGCAGGCTGCAATGTTCCCTGCACCCAAAGTGAGAGCTGAAGCAGCAGCCAGCATCCCATTATAAGGCTATGAGTAAAACTGAGTCTGATTTCATGTTAATTAGGTTCTAAAGGGACTGAATCTTGATTGCAGTGGTCATATCAAAGATTTAAAATAGTAATGCAAAAAGCAAAGGAAACCCCACAGTGATTCATATAAGAAGGGGAAATAAAGACAGTCATGGAGGAAGAAGGAGTTTGAGGGGGCCTGAATTGCTCTGCTGCCCAAAAGCAGGAGGGGATTTGAATCAGATTATCCTCATTAGATGTCTCTTTAAAGCATCATCAAGCCAGATGAATGGTCTGGGGGAGAGCTTGCAGGCATGGTGGCTGTGATTATCACCAGGGATTTGCAGTCCTAGTTATCTAGCTTAGAGACAAGATTATTAGGGGGTTTAAAGCTGTTCCTGCCCTCAGCCTCTAATGTGCATTTTTAGGCTGGGTGATGGGAAATGCTGTGTTGCTGCACAGCCCCTCGGAAGCCTGCCTGCATCCTCTGGTGGTCTAGCCCTCTGCAGGGCTGTGGGTGCAGTGTGGATGGGAAAGGGACCTGTGTGGCCAGGAGATCTTCCAGGGGGATGGACAGGCAGCCTTCCCTGGGGACTGTGGCAAAGGGCAACACCTCCCATATAGGTGCTCACACTGTGATAGGGAATGGGAAGGGGATCTTGGGAGGCAGGATTATTTACCCACCTGCCTTGGCAGAACCGTTCGCTCCCCACAGCATGTCCCTTCTTGTGACAGCCTGTGCCAAAGCAACTCATCCTTCCTGCAGCTAGAGCCTTTGAATCCCCAAAGGCTCAGAAGCTGGTGTGGCTGTTACAGAGGGAATGCCTGTGAGCTGTGAGGAGGGCTCTCCCCTTGAAAGGGAATCAATGGACATTGCCCACAGGTTCCTTGGAGTTCATCCTCAGGGGTGGTGAATACAGCACAGGGCTGCTGGCAGTCACTCTCCACCTCCTCAGCCCTGCAGCTGCATCAGCTTTTCATCCTCCCCTTTATCTCCTCCCCTACTCTGTGTGTTGCACTCCTGTCTCTTCTCTGGACTTTGGCAGGATGGCCAAGACATTGTGCCCAGATACCAGCCAGGAGAGGAGGTACACAGGCCAAATCCACCTGTCAGTTCTCTTGTAACATTGCATCCTTAATACACTCATGGAAAATCATAACATTACTCTGCACTCACGCCTATGCAAGTAAAATCACTCTGGCTTTTTACAGCAGGCTGAACCTAAAGGTCTGTGGGAAGCTGGAGGATACTGTAGAGGAAGTGGGGCAAGTGTGGCTTTGATTTTTGGCTCTGGGGTCATCTGCTGGAGATTCATGCCTTGAGAATGCAGTGGTGGGGCTTCTCACTGTGAGTACGGGGGAGATTTCTGCCCTAGCATCAAGGATGCATGATCTGGCTGAACTCACCTGTTCTGAGGCTTTTCCTGTGGCAGCACATCACCCTCAATCACTGGTTTCTGTTTTGGTGCTGGACATGCTGCCTGGCCCTGTCACGGCACATGAACACTCCCTATGAGCAGCCATAGGCAAAACTGGGGGGGGGGGGGGGGGGCACTTCCCCCCCCCCTCAGTTGCCCAAGGGAGACAGGACAAGATGCCACTTCTCCTCAGGGTGGGGGTGGGGGCAGCATCCCTGCTGCAAGGCAGAGTGGGCAGGGTGCTTGTTCACATTCAGGCAGAAGAGCCAGGCTCAGTTAATGCTGTGTTGCTCATGATGGGGGGGGGGGGGGGGGGCGGGGGGGGGTTTGCAAGAGCTGGAGACCCAAAGCTCGCTGAGTCCCCCCCACACTCTGCAGAGCAGCGAAAACAGCCAGCACAACAGCTGGAAACACCCCCCACTCCTCCCCATCAGGGGAGATCAAGGGCTCAGCTCCTCCAGGGTTGGATCAGACAAGGGAGGTTTTTCCCATGTCCTCTGTGCTGCTGTGTCCCTCTTGGGCTCTACAGATCAGGAAGGGGGAATGGGCGGAGGGAGTCTAAGCTCAGGAAGAGTTGACTCACCCTTCTGTAACCCCACAGGGTTCTTCAACAGGCAGCCCACTGAGAAGCCTAATTTGGGTGTTCAGCATTATCAAGGTCCCTTTGCAGAGGGAGGCAAGGACACCTGCCCTTTTCTCTTCAGCCTTGCAGACAAGCAGAGGTCCAGGGACATATAAACAAGGAGCAGGGAGACAAATTCCATTCAACAGGGTGGGGCACTGCCCCACACCAAACACCCTATGCAGATGGCTGAGCAGTGTCACAAACCCCATTGATAGGAAGCAGAGCACCTACAGAGGGATCTGGGGTTTAAAGTGACTGTGAATCCCTTGAAACCTTTGCTTTCCCACATTATTAATAAAATCTTCCCAGATTTTGTCTGTAAGCCCACCTGGCTTTAGGAAGGATCCCAGTGGATCATGAGGAGAAGGTGGAGCTGTGAGAAATCCGCTCCTAATAGCCATAGTGGTACTTTTTGTGAAGGGATGTGTCCCATCAGCCAGCAAAGGAGTGTTGGGGAAGGGGTGCTGGGATGAGGTGCTGAAAGGGCTTTGGGAGATGGCTCCAGCCAAGGCATTCTACTGGACCATCTGAATGTGGGGCAGGTGTCAGGCTGTGCTGAGATGTTCCCGAGGCGCTGGGTGCACCCTGCCAAGGTTTGTCCTGAGGTAACTGGGTTTGCTCAGTAAACACCTCACAGCTTCTCTAATCGACAAGCCTTCGGGTTTCCGGTGTGCACGAGCACAAGGTGAACTTTCGGGGGATATTTTCTGCTACACGCGGTTTTACAAGTGCGTGCGTGAGTCACTTCACCTACCCCTGACACCAGAGGAACCGCTCACACGAGTCCAGTCACTCATGTGTGCATGAGCTCTCACAGGCCACTGCCAGCCCTCCATGCTCCTGGAGCACCAGCACTGCCCTGTCTCCCAAAGGGATCCCAGGTATCTCAGCTGACCTCAGCCAAAGCCAAGTGTGGGATAGGAGCAAACGGCACTGGAAATCGAGCTGTCTGACTCCGAGATGAAAACATAATTCTTAAATCGCTTAAATTTGATATCTTTTCTGGTTTATTTGTTTAATAAAAGGACTTAGCCAGAGACCCAGGCTCCTGGGGTTTTCATTTCTCTGCAGAAGAGATAAGAAAAGCGCATTTCCTTATCCAGTGAGTCATTTTTTCTGCTCTTTAATTATGCATTTGTGTGATTATCAAGCGTATTCAGCTTTGAGATGCAAACAGCTCAAACTACTCACCAAGCTTTAACTTTTGCTATTCCAAAAAGGATCAACCACAGTTATAAAGGGTAGGGGAGGCAAAGATGGGGGAGATGAAAAGGGAGACAACTGATGCCCAGAACCTGGGCCGTGCCCATGAGCAGGCCCACATGTGACTGCTGCTGGGGTAGTCAGCACTGGTTTTCTCCTTGAGAAAGCATTATCATGTGTAAGTTCAAACATATCTTCTTGGCCCAGGAGGAGGTAGATGAGTTGGGACGAGGGCAGGGAAGACCTGTAGAGCATGATAAAGAGGGATGAGTAAATGGGGGGAATAGGTAATGTCAGTGGCAGCAATGAGGCTGCAATCTCCTTCCATGTAACAGGACCTGGGAGCACTTCATTCACAGGAGAGCATGATGGCTGCCATCCCTGGGCTTCAAGTTTTCTTCAAGTTTTCTTTCCGTGTACTGAAATGGGATCTGTTGGTTCCTGAGCTTTAATGTAAATCTTGCCCTCCATGTTGAAAGCACTTTATAGGTTACTTGGTTTGGACTTTCCCCATTGTGCATGTTTGACTGGGCTTGCAGAGTTAATCTGTAAGTGTGGTACAGCAGATGCTGGCAACCACTTCTCACCCCGCACTTTAAGCCAAGCAGGGAGGAGAGACAGGGGGAAGAGGGGCACGGTGACAGTCCTGTGGTGGGACCCACAGAAATGAGGGTGATTAACATGGAGGAAGTACAGTGGGGCACTTGAGAGGTGAGGCAAACGGGAATGATGGAGAAGCATACCTCTTTGGGAATAGGAGACTAGCAGGTGGAAACACCCCAGGGCAAGAGGAGCAGCAAAGCCTTTGGAGCAGGGAGGCGGTTTGGGGATAGGTATCCTGACAGAGCACCAGAGGTTTTGTGGGGATCCTCTGCCTACATGCATGTCCTCAGCCCCACCAGCCCACAAGAAAAGGTATTTTCTTGGCCCTAGACCCTTCACTTGCACTTCTGAGAGCTGCCTACTGGGACAGTGAAGATTCCAGGTGCCCTCTCCTTGCTAGGTCTCTCTGCTGTGGAGCTTAGATGTGGACTGGAGTGAGCCTTGGCTTTTATTTTTCCCCTTGCTGTGGGTCATGGCTCTGCATGACAGTTTTCCATTCCTTCTAGCTGCTGGACACTTGACTCTCCAACTCCCATGCCTGCACCCGAGCCCTGGTCCTCACCTGGGGTGTGCAAGAGGCAGAGGGTCAGCTGAAGTGGGATATGGAGAGATGTGCTGCTGTTTGACCCAGCTGCCCCAGCAGGTATGAGCAGGGTGAGCACAGCCTGCTCACGGCAAGCATTGAGGCAGAGGGTGCTGAGCTGTCTGTGCCATTTGTGGCTCAGGGCTGTGCTGAGAGAGGGAAGTGCTTGCCCTGCCCCCACTTGACTGGGGAGTCTTATTTTGACTAAGATGGAGTGGGAATAGCTGAGCCACAGGCACAAGAATGGCTGGCATCTCACAGCCCCTCAGTGCAGCCCACAGCCCTCTGGCAGCCATTCCTGCTGGCATGGCACAGGAGTGAGGGAGCAAGCACCTGGGCACACTGGCTGGAAGAGGAAGTGAAATCATGGCAGGTTTGGAACTGGTGGGGAGTCACCAGACTTTTTCGAGACTTTGGTTTGCCTGGAGCCCTGCAGTGCCCACGGTGGGGCTGGGACTGTGTTGGGGCTGCTTTGACATTGCTATGATGCAAACTATCCCCTGGAAATGCTGCTGGCAGGGAGATGTGCTGCAGGGAGGGAGATGTGCTGTAGGGCAGCTCCTCCCCTGCAGGGCATGGGGTACCGAAGAACTGCACTTGGGCTGAGATCTAGCATGGGGAGCTGGTGACTGCATCCTACCCAGAACTTCAGGAGGTGGGATTTGAAGCTTGTGGGCTCAGCTTGTCCAACAGTCACTGGTGATGGGCAGGCACATTCAGGGACTCAGGCCTGTCTCAGAGGACCTCAGCTGCCAAGTGGGGGCACCTGGTACTCTGTCACCTTGAGCCAGAGCACCCTTTGGATTTTTTCCTCCTCCCCTCCCAGCCTTGATCCAGGACAGTGGGCAGTAGAGGCCTAACTAGAAGGAGTCCAGATGCTGTAGCTGCTGGAAGAACATGACTCCAGCAGTAAAGCCTTATTAGGGATCTCCTGGGTAGGGCAGGTCACTAGTGTTGCTTCCCTCAGCTGATAGCCAGCCAACAAGTCTAGCTGGCCCCTTTCTTTCCAATGGAGTGAAGAAAAAGAGTATGTGACTTTTGTTCAGTAGGAATGGAAGAGATCCACCTACAGCACTGAAATCCATCTCTTCAGGTCTCAAGCATCAGGCTTTGATGTGTGGCTATTGGTGGCAGAACATTTCACCTGCGCCTGATCAGGAATGCCTGAGACTATTAAAGCTTTTTTTTAGTCCCTTCCAATGGTTTGAGGACCAGGCTTGCTTGGTGTGACCTGCTTTGCCCATTTACTGCACATTTACTGAGCAGAACCAGATCTGAATCCTGGAGAATGAGACAGGGTGCTGAGGAGCCACAGGTCTAGGTCTGCGTTTGAGAGCATGGAGAGAGCAAGGTGATGCAGAGCACCATCAGTAAGAATGAAGAACATACAACAGTTGGCCTGCTTGCAGAGCAGTCACTGGCAGGATGTGTCCTCGGGGCAGTAGGAGCTTTTAAAAGGGGAAACATCAGTGCCCTTTCAATCCTTTCTCCTCCAGTCTTTTGCATTTTCAATCCAAGACAGATCTGTGCCCCTGGGATGTAGTCTTGTAAAAGATATGTGTACAGGAAAGTCTCCTGTAAACACCGGAGGAGGCCGAGGGGGCTTTTCAGTGTAAGCAAAGGAGGGTGCAGGCTGGGGGACATTGCCTGGGCTGGGGGCAACACGCAGGTGGGCTGGGGAGGAGCGAGGATCAAGGAGGTCAGGCTGGGTACGAGGTGCTGCGTGGCTGAGGCACACAAGGGGCTGTGTGGATTTCGGGAGCATATTTTGGAGGAGAGGGGTAGTTTGAGGGCACATTGCAAAGGCAGGCAGGGGTAGGGCTTGGTTGCTTGCTCTCCTCCTCCCTGGTGAAGATCCGCCCCAGGCCAAGCAGCGATTGTGAGCCCCAAGGGAGACGACGCAGCTTGACAGACTGTATCTCCCTCTGCCACGGGGCCTGGGGCGCTGCGATTTCACACTCCGGCGGCCCTGTCACTGCTACGCCATGCAAGAGCTGGGCTCTCACTCCCACTCTGCCATGTCCTCATCAGGAAAAGCTGCCATTGCCCCCTCCTGCCTCTCCTTTGAGTGCTTCGATACCCTGACCAAGTCGTGCATCAAGTGCTCCGACCTGTTCCAGGACAACACAAGTAAGGGGACAAGGGAAGCTGGAGTCTGAGCTCCCCAGGGCTGGGTGGTGGTGGGCCAAGGAGGCTGGGGGCACCCCAGGGGTGGGCAAGTGGAAGGCTCCTTCTCCTGAGGATGGCTATGGAGGTGGCTATGGAGGATGGAGCACCACCTTCAGCTAAAACGGAGGGGAAGAGGGCAGCAGTTCCATTGAGAGGAACATGGTGTAGGGAGAAGTCGGATGATCCACCCTAGGGATCTCATCAAGCAGAGGGATATTTTGTTGCTGGTGGCAGGTGGATCACAGTTAAGTGCCACACTTTTTCCCTGTGACCGCAGCCCCCAGGCCAGCCAGCCAGGTGAAAAATGCTGCTGCCCTCTTTCCTCCTTCAGCTTTCCCCCTCCTGACACTACCAGCATCTCACCCCACAGCAGAGCCTACCCTGGCACCCACCGTGACCAGCACCTTCCTGATTTTCGGGCTCCCGGTAGTGGTGGGGTTCATCCTGGTTCTGGCTGCCATCTGTGTCTTCCTGGCCTGCAAGGAGGGGAAGCAGAGGAGAAAGAGGAGGGCAGCAGATGAAGAGGACAAAGGTAGGAGACCTCTTCCTCTCCTTCTCACAAGGCCCTGAGGTCCCTGGGGTAGGTGGGATCACTTACTGCTGGCTCCACTGAGGCACAGCCCAGGCTAACTCCTCCACCTCAACATCAGCTCCACAGGCATCCCATGGCATTTCGGGGCACCTGAATCACTGCCTGAGTGACAGTGTCCTGCATTCCCTGGGAACCTATGCCTGTGCCTGACTGCCAGCACAACCCTGCTGAGCCATCCCTCTCTTTGCTGGGTCTCCCTGTGCCTTTGTTTGCTTAAAGCAGGTCCTGGCACCATGCCCTCTCCACAGGGGACACATACAGATCACTGGTGAGTAGTAGCTTTGTGACAGCCCTCTCCCCCACTAGCCAAAGGAACATGGATGGAGTGGGGCCAGTGGTGGACACCTTGGGATGGCTCCAGAGGCAACCTCTCCCTGTGGCACTGCAGTAGAGGTCCTATGTGGACCGCCCAGCTTGCTTCTTGTGCTTGGGATGCCCAGCATCTTCCAACATGCATCCCAAAGACCCCAGTGGGACTTCAGGGCCAGCCTCATTGATAGTTGCCTCAAAATTAGGGCTGGGTTCAAGGAACGGGGCCGAGCCTTTCCTATCAAGGTACTTCCAGGAGAGTAAGGCTGCAGTACTCCATGATGGCCCACTTTGTTGGGGTGACTCTTTCCTCCCTTGGGGGCCCCTGCACTGGCACTGATTCAGCCTTGAACAGTCTTCTCAGAAGTGGTCTTGCCTGGTTTCACCTCTCCCCATTCCCAGGTAGGGGGTATGGCTTCCCAGGACCCCCAGGAGGGGCTGCCTGATAGGAATGCTGACACTCACTACTGCCCTATGACCCGGGTGGGTGTCCACAGTGGGCAGCTGGTTCTTGTGCCCTGGCTTGCCTGCACGCTTCTGGCACTGCCAGATGGTGACTCAGACCAGGGGGACATTACCCAGGGCCTTTCTACTCCGTGGCAGCCCATGACGCACATGCCTAAGAAAAATACCAAAAGCGAAAGGGAAGGGAGAAATCCAGTGGTGAGAGAGATCTGGCTGTTAGGGAGAGTGTTGGAGGCACTACTCAGTCTCCTGTTGCATACCCTGGTCCACATCCCCTGTGTCCCCCAAGGCTGCACCACAGCATGCCCAGTGCTGTGGCACTGGATGTGTGGGAAGTGGCAGGAGGCTTGGGGCTGGAGGCACACGCCTGTGTTCAAAGTGTGTAAACAAGTCTATTTTTAAGTGAGAGGCAGTCGGGGAGGGGAGGCTGCCACGGGCTGGGCTCTTCTGCTGCCAGCAGGGTTGAGTGAGAGGACTCAAAGTGGAAGTGCAAGTTTCAGCCCTTCCCTCTTGCCTTTTAGTGGGGGAAAAGCCCATTGGTGGTAAGCAGGAGAAATTCTGCAGCTGAAGAGATGGGGGACCTTGCAGACTCCTCCTGTTCCAGATCCATCTTCTCCTCTAGGGACAGGACCGTCTCCCTGGGACCTGCCTGACCCCACTCCATGAGCCCAGTAACCCCCTTTTCTTGTCCCTTCCCAGAAAACACAGACATCGCCAGCCCCCTGCCCAGCCAGGACTCTGCCATGCCAGAGGGAGATGGTGCCCTGAACCCAGCCCCATGCCTGCATCTTGCTGGGAGCTTGAAGATGTCGGGGCCACCCAGGAAAGCCAGGGCAAAGCAGAGGCCGTGCTGCCAAGGCGATGCTGATGGCGACATTGTTCTGGTCTCTGCTGCATGCCCCCGGACTGAGGAATGCAACCACAGCTTCCCACTACCTGCCACTGAGCTGGGGGCCACAGTGCTGGTCACCACCAAAACCACCCAGAACTGTGCCAGAGAGGAGAGAGTCTGAGGGCAAGGGGAATGAAGCAGGAGTGCCCTGGCCAAACCCTGTGGACGCTGACAGACTGTTTCTGGGATGGGTGAAGCCTTCCATGGGTATGAGCTCTGTGAGGACCAGGTTTTGCCTGTTAAGATGACTGTCCTTTCTGTGCTGAGTCCCAAGTTATACCTGTAAATGCTGGAGGAAGGCAAAGTGGATCATGCTGAGTTACAATGAACTGTTGACAGCTGCCATGGCTGAACCATTAGGAGGAGGCAGAGGAGACACAACATGTGAGGATGGAGTGTGACAGGCACTGCTGTGCCATTTGCAAGGCAGCTGTTGTGCCTGGACAGGTCTCCTGCTGGATGGGTAATTGCTGGGAACATGGGGCTGGAACACCAGAAACTGCAGGGGAAAAGGAAGCAGGGAGTTACTTTAGGACCAAATCCCACACAGCAGTAGCTCGATTTTTGATACTGACCTCAATAAAAGGAGACTTGAGGCTGCATGAAGCAAGGCACACCCAGCATCTGCTCTATTTACAGTCCTGCTTCCCTGTCTTCTGCACTCTGTGATACCCAGGTCTTTCCACCCTCTGGGCTCTCTCACACAGTGGCAGGCATCCACCAGCACTCATGGGAACCTCCTCCACAGCCAGGTACCCTGGGGATAGGAAAAAAGTTCATCTTCCCAGGCAGTGAAGAGGGGAAAAAAGTCTGTCCTTGCTCTGACCCAAAGTCCCTGAAGTTTGGGAGGACCAGGGGCAGGCAGTGGAGACAGCTAGTCCAGAGGAGCTCCCTGAACGTGTTATTACAGCCCCAGACAACCGTCACTTCAGCTTACTGTCGCTGCAGAAATACCGTGTGTCATTTGCGATGCATGCTTCCACACTGCACAAAAGCAGTCAGGGTGTGATGTAAGCGTAGGCAGGATGACTTAATTTATGAGACTGTCCTCAAGGCTTTGCCAGTGTGGCAGAGCTGGCCAGCGTTGCTGATCCCAGGCATTTCCCCGTAGATGGATTTCTTCACCCGCCTGTAAGTGGTTTTACTGCACAGGAAGGGCTCTCTTTGGGAAATTAACTCGTTCATGTGGGATTGCTGATTCTGAGTAATTACAGCAGGTGATGCCCCCTGGCTGAACAGAGACCCTTGGTTGGGTGAGAAGCCCCTGGAAAAGGTGATTAGTCACTTAGAGGTGCTTTGAGGGGTTATTTACATGATGCACCATCTCTGGGTCTGTTCTTCCTTAAATGAGGTGGCTTCCTCCTCCAGGAGGTTTTGGACACTAAACAGAGCTGGCCAAACAAGGTGTAGGGGCGCTGACACCAGGCACTAATGGGCCACTGAGTGACATATTCCCAGTAGGGTCAGCTGGAGGCACTGTGTGGAGGGGATATCCCTCTGATGATGGGAAGGTGACTCCCTGCCCAAGCATGAGTTCCTTTTGGGGCTGCAAGGACAGATGCTACTGTTGAAGGGTGACCACCTCTCTTCTCCCCTTTCTGCACTGCAGCCAGACTCATGGCATCTGTCCCATAAGGGCAACCACAGGTGCCAAGGCCAAAATTACCACAATTCCTCTCCCAGACCTTAACAGACTGGCAGAGGTAAAGCCTCATCTGACTGAGGCTCCGCATGATCCAGGCTGGGATGTATCTCCATCTCAGCCTTGGGGCTGAGGATGGTGGAAGAGGTGGTCCACACGCCCAGTGACTGTCTCCTGGGGCTCCAGACACCTGTGTCAGAACCTGGAGGCTCAAAGGCTGGTGTCCCAGCTATTCACAACAGCCATGCTGCCCTTTGCAGAGGGAGTATTGCCACGGCATGAATCAAGACATCTCCTCATCCTCATGCTCTGCACCCAACCCTGTGAAGTAACTTCAAAAGGCCTTTGTGTATCTGAAGTTGGGAAAAGAGCTGAAGCCAGGTCGGGAGATGTTTTGTCTCTCAAAGGATTGCTTCTGGGAGACAGAGCAACCTGTTTCAGGGGAGATGGGGGTGATATGGAAATGGAGCAGAGCTATCAGGAGCCACCTCCACTTCCCTCCCAGTGACAGCAGCAGCCCAACCCTGTGGATGCACTGCCCACCCCAGATAATCTGGGAATTTGAAAAAGAAACACCCGTACAAATCCTATTGAAAAAGCTCCTCTTTCTGTTCAGGTAAGGACTTCTGTTCCCATTTCTGCTGGAGCTTAAGCCAGACACCTCCCTATATGGAATGCCACTGGCATTTGCGGCACGCAGAGTGGCAGTTGGATCCACACTGTATTCCTCAACAAGTGAGTGCCCCTTGGATCTCCTCACATGGTATGGGAGGTGCCTTCCCTGCATCGTGTCTGCCTGACTGCCAGCTGTGGTGGGGCAGTGCTCCCCTTCTGCTCAATCTGCCCAGGAGGCATCTGTAACCTGCTCTGTGCACTCCTCCATCCTTATGTACAGGGCAAAGGGTTGTCCATTTTGTCTGCATGGAGAGCCAAGGGAATAGAGATGAAAAATATGGCAGTAAAAATTAAAGAATAAAATTAATCCATTGTCAATCCATGTTCAGAGGTCTGAATGGGGTCCCCATTTTCCTGGCTTTAGGAGTCTCCAGCATCATGGTCCTTGGAGTACAGCAGGGCTTTAAGTTGGAGAGGCTTCCCTGGCAGTGGCAATATCAACACATTCCCTACGCATGGCCACCTGCATGGCCAAGAATCAGCCAAGCCTGGCCACCTGCATCTCCCCACAGCCATTCCAGGAGCTGGCCATTAGGACAAGCACTGGGGAAAGTCTTTTTATGGGGGGGATGAGGTGGGGATGTTGCCTGTCTTTGACTTTCCACAGCAGTTTCTCACTTCCCTCTGTGAGGCAGGAGCTGTGCTTCCTCCTCAGCCTGACACTCACCCCACAACTGCCTAGAAAGGCTGGTGAAGCTGGGCTTCATCTGGCTGCAGGGACATGGGGTTTCAGAGGGAGCCGGGGAAAGTCTGAGGAAACCCCTGGGCAAGAAAAAGCAATTGAGGTTAAAACCCTCCTCACTGCAGCCACCAGTCATGTCTGCCAAACCCTTCTCAATCCCATAGGCTCCCCAGACTGCAAAGTGAGGCTTTGCTCCCTCACTTGCTCCTTTCCAAGCCCGTTACTGGTTCACCCACCAGTTTAGTCTCCTGATAGTTTACCCACAGGCCCAACTATTCCAGCCTAAAGCCCTCCCCCACCCAGGCCCCTGCAGACCCAGCTTGCCCCTCCATGGGCACGGCCTTGGAAGCAGGCAGGGCAAGGGGGCACCATTTCATCCCATGCATGAGGTAATGCCCCGATGGCAAACGTCCAACAAGGTCCGTCTGTCTCTGGGTGCAGCCTCTGATCCCCCCACTTGCTGCAAGGACAGGGCTGTGGGGCCACCCCATCGTCTGCTTGCAGAACACGGATCTCATCCCATCCCACAGGAACCTTTCCCATCGGTCACTTCCCGGGCCAGCCGTGGCACGGCGACACGCGGGTGCTCCTGCAATCCTCGGGGAGCAGCAGCGGGAGGGGTCAGCAGCCCGGGGCGCTGCCGCGAGGTGGCACTGACGGCACGGACCGGCCGGAGCGCCGCGGGGAGCGGCACGGCACGGCACGGCACGGCACGGCACGGCACCGCCCCAGGCTGCCGGGGCACCGGGGAGAGCCAGGCAGGCTTGCGGCCAGCCCCACCCGGCTCAGATGGAAGGGTGACGGCTGGGTCTGACTCTGCCCGACCGCACAGCCCATCACCGTGGCCTCTAGGCTGCCCAGGAGAAATGGTTGCTGGTGACTGGACACCTGTGGGTCAGCCAGAGGCACAGAGTGCTGCTGCTCCATCCCCCAGCAGCACTGAGCACCTCAGCCATCGTCCCGCTCCCCCGAGCAGCCCATTCCCAGTGGTGTCAGACCTCTCTGAGCATTCTCCAGGATGTGGACCTGCCAGCCAGCACCTCCCTTCTCCATCCCCTCCCTGTCAACCTCTGCCAAAAAGGAAAATTCTGTGTTACCCACCAAGCTCCCCAGGTGGAAAAGGCCAGGGTCGGAGAGAAAGGGCTGGCCGGCTCCCTGTGCGATGCTGTCAGGGGACCACAGCCTTCCTGATGCTGCTCATCAGCATCCCTCCCTAATTGCTACCCAGCGCCTAATGACAGTAATTAGGAAGAACGAAGCTGCCTGGGGACTGGAAGCGCTGACGGAGTTGGGGGAGACAGATGGTGTTCGCACTTAAAGAAAAATTGGAAAAAAATAACCCAACAAATTCCACTCAGCTTCGATCAGCCTCCTTTTCCTTTGCTTAGTGTCAGGATCACTTCGGTCCACAGGCACATCAGGGAGAGGCACAGATGTTGCACTGGTCATTTTCAAACACCGTATCTGCACACACACACACACACACACAACCCGCAGAATCGCTGGTATTTTAGAGTGCCGAGGGAGCAGTAGGAGGGGGCACAGTGCCTGTCTTGGTACCTGGCATGGAGGGGATTTCCTCACTGCTTTTGTGGGCTGATGCTCTCCCCTGGGGCCACCCCCACAGCTCCTGGCTTTGCTGGCTGTGATCAGTGAGCAGCTTCCCAGGGGTATAAAGTGGGGGAACAGCCCAAAACCACCTGAGCAGCTGTGGTGAGCACACAGAAGCTCTCCTGGCAGACAGAGCTGTCCAAGGCACAGCCCCACATTCTTCCCATCACTGTGGAGTGAAGACACTACACTAGGTTTTTCAGGGATCACCCAAAATTTGACCGCAGCAACCAGGACAGGGACTGCAATGCACTCAGCTTTACCTGCCTGGAGAAACCCCACCTACAGAAAACCGCCTCCAAACCCTTTCATACAGCCCCTTCCACCCGAGTCCTGGGGTGATGCCACCTGCCTCCAGAGCTACCTGCCAGACTGCAGCTGCACCTGGGCAGAGAGACGATACTGGGGTGTGAGGGAAACCCCCTTCCTGCCCCTTAACAGCTGTCCCAAATGCTCTCAGGATGCCCAGGACCTTCGTCCCCCAGAGCACCCTGGGGATGCAGGGACAGGGTTATGCTAGGTAGGGAATATGCACAGTCTCATGGAAGAGGATGCTCAGTCCTGCACTATGGCATCAGCCTGACCTCATTCAGGGGATGTTCCAAGAAAAGGCCCAAGGCAGGCATAGGGCAAGCCTGCACATGCCCTGGGCTTTGCGGGGTAACCTCCCCCTCCTCCACACCAAGTGGGGTCATTTTAAACCCATTCTTCATCTAGTCACAGCTAGTGAGGTGAGTAGAACCTTGCCAAGTGACACAAACCTTATGTGACACCTGAAGTGATTGGTGGTGACAGGCAGATTGTGCAGGGAGAGCCTCTGCACTCCTTTCAAGGCGCTGCTGTGACAGGGACTGACCCCCCTCACTCCCAGGGACACCTCCAAGGAATGCAGGGCTCTCCTGCTGGGAAGCTGTCATTCCCAAAGGGCTGTGGAAGTGGATACGGGATGTGGAAGATCCCCAAAAGTAAGGATCCAGTTTTGGACCCCCACAAAACGATAATCTGGGCAGCAAGGTGGTTGGTGCCAGAGCTAGAGCACATGGTGCAGCCTGCCCTGATCCAAGCTGCATTGCATCCTCCCCTCCCTCTCCTGCCTTACGTTATTTCTTCTTTTTTCTCTCTTTTTCTGAGCATGGGGCTGTGATAAGAGCCCAGGGTGGAGCCACAGGGGTGCAGAGGGAGGAGGTCACCAGCAGTGGGGTGCTGTGCGGGTGGAGCCCCATGTCCTCCATCTGCTGTCTCCTGTGTCAGCTGGCCACAGCTCCCTGGCTGCTGTCAGGAGCTATTCTGAGCCTGCCTGGATCAATGGGCAAGTGTGGGGGTTTGGGTGACAGCCACGGGAGGCATGTTGGGAGGAGGGCTGCAGGCAGGGAAGAGCAGGTGGGATTTCTCAGGAGATTCCCCCATCTTCCCCACCACACACACAGTCTCTGCTGTCCTGCAAGGTTTCAGTGATGCAGATGTCTTTCTCATTTCTTTCCCTACGGGGGTTGCAGTCTGACTGGGTCCCACTACCCAGATGTCGCTTCCTGATTTGAGAAGTGCCGGCATTTTGTGGAGCGGCAAAACTCCAGGATGAAGGCACCTGCAGCCAAAAACTGTGGCCAATACTGAGCTCAGGATGGCAATTTAAATAGGGTTTTATAGTGGGGGTGACACACAAAAGATCACCTTCCTCCTCCGCCAAAAATAATTGCCATTCTAATTCTGTGACAATAATAATATTTGGTAAGGCTGTTAATTCTTTGTGAAGTGAGGATAATTTTAAAGCTGGTGATTTAAATGCAGCACTGCAAAAGTTTTTGGATAATTAAAACCAAAAAAAAAAAAAGCTATTTTCCTTAACTAAAACGTTTGCCTTCTCCATTAGCATTTCCAGTGATGTCCAGTAGTTTCCCTTTAGCAAATTTACAGATGATACAAAGTTGGAAAGGAATGTCGATCTGCTGGAGGGTAGGAGGACTCTGCAAAGGGGCATGGACAGACTGGATAGAGAGGCTGAATCCAACAATATGAGGTTTAACAAGACCAAGTGCTGGGTCCTGAACTTTGGCCACAACAACCCCCTGTAGCATTACAGGTTGGTGACAGAATGGCTGGACAGCAGCCAGGCAGAAAGGGACCTGGGGGTACTGATTGACATCTGGTTGAATATCCAGATGTCTAGGTGGCCAAGAAGGCCCATGGCATCCTGGCCTGTATCAGGAATAGTGTGGCCAGCAGAACTAGGGAAGTGCTTCTTCCCTTGTCATTGGCACTGGGTAGACCATAGCTTGAGTCCCGTCTCCAGTTCTGGGCCTGAATTTAAAAATGGTACTGAGATGCTGCAGCGTGTCCAGAGAAGGGCAGTGAAGCTGGAGAAGAAGCTGGAGCACAAGTCCTGTGAGGAGCAGCTGAGGGAGCTGGGGTTGTTTAGCCTGGAGAGGAGAATGCTCAGGGGTGACCTGATCACTCTCTTCAAATACCTGTAGAAAGCTGTGGCCAGGGGAGGATTGGTCTCTTCCCCAACACAACCAGCAACAGAACAAGAGGACACAATCTTAAGCTTCATCAGAGGAAGTTTAAGTTGGACATTAGGAGGAATTTCTTCAGAAAAAAATGTAATTAGGCATTGGAATGGGCTGCCCAGGCAGGTGGTGAAGTCACCAGCCTTGGAGGTGTTTAAGGAAAGACTGTAAGTGGCACTCAGTGCCACAGTCTGGCTGACATGGTGGCGTTCAGTCAAAGGTTGGACTCAATGATCCCAGAGAGCTTTTCCAACCTCATGGATTCGGTGATTCTGTGACAAGGACCTCAACCCTCACAGAAGGGATCTTGTCTCCTTCCCTGGAGAAGAATGAGCAGACAAGGGAGGCTGCAGCTGGTCACCTTTGCTGGCCTCTCATGGCCACCACTGCCCTCCCTTATGGTGGCCCTAGTTTATTTGCAGTGTGAACTAATAAAAACACTTCATTCCCCAAATGAGAGGGAGCATCATTTTGGCACTGGACAATCCTGTCATGGACAGTCAGAAAGAATTGGAGCAGAGGATTGGGATGAAAGGGAAAGAGAGACCTGTTAACTCCCTCCCAAACTCCTTTCAGAGCCACAGCCCCAACTTCCCCTTAATGCTCTCCTGACAACTTCATTTTTGTCTTTCTTCCTGTCTCTCACCACTAATACCAAAATTAAATCTCTAAATGCTTCTGGGGTGACACATTTCCCAGTCTATTCCCAGGGGTGGTCTCTCTGGGTTTGCTCTTCAGCTCCTCAATTATTTATCTCTGCAAGGGAACAGGAAAACAAGCTCAGCGAAGCAAACTTCATGCCCTGTAGTGACACCATGAGTTATTAAAAAAAATATAATAAAAATTCCCCAGTGAGTCATTTAAGAGGCACTTAAGCAGCTCCAACCACAGAGACAATAGTCATGACTAACTGTTTACAGCCAGCATTGGCTGGGGAGGGCCAGGGGCAGGAAGGAATCCGGATTCCCTCATGGCATTTCTCAACATGGATGTTTGGGGGGAACCCTACTGGTGGACGGTAAATACTAAATGTCCTCATTTACAGTTTAAGGTAATTGCAAGCTCCCTGTAAGCCTCATATGTTCTGGGGTGGTGGAATGAGGTGATGCAGAGGATGTGGGGGATGTAAAGGATGTGGGAAGTTATAGAAACTGTGGTGGGATGAAGGGGATGAAAGAATGCAGGAGCATTTGAGGGATGCAGAGCAATGTGGGGGGTGTGATAGAAGGTGAGGAATGTGGTCAGAGGTGAGGGATGCAGAGCACACGGAGGAGTACAATAGACACAGGGATTAAGAAGATAGAGGGGATTGGGAGGATGCAGGGTGTGTAGAGAGATGTCCATCTACATGGGCAGATTGTGCCAGAGGGCTGCTGGGAACCCTAAGCCCCAGCACTCCCCTGCCCACCTGAGCCCCATTCCAGCTGTGATGCCAAATGATCACAGGAGCAGCAGTGAAAGAGCACCCTAAACACTCCCTCCCTTTGACAGTGAGTGTCCACTGCAGCCACTCGAGCACTGAACCCATGCTCAGGAGAGATCTCCTTGACCTCTCCACCTGCTGCCTTTCACATCATGGCCAATCCCCTCTGCTCCCTCAGCTGCAGGACCTGCTGGGGCACAAAGAGCAGTGTTTTCTTGCTCCTGGCACAAAGAGCAGCAGCGATAATGCAGGAGATGGCTAAATGCTGTGCAGGGAGTGTGTACAGCCCGGCATGGGTGGGCTCCAGCAGAAAAAAACTGTAGGGGAACTGCTGGCCTTGGAGACATTAAGAGGAGCTTATCTTTAGCTCATCCCTTACTTTCAGCCCAAATCCAGAGCCCTCAGCAGCTAAAATGCCCATGCCTAAATTGTGACGTGCTTTGAAGCCAGGTTTATGTGCGCTGTCACAGGGGCAGTGTTGACGCCTGTCTTGCTTTGAGGGATCCTGCGATCCAGCTTGCACTCACGAAGCCCAAGCAACCGGGTGAGTCCATGCAGACCCCTGCTGTCCCCTCTGCCCAGGAGCCAGCAGGCAGCACACGCTCACTTGGGCAGTGCTTAACCCCTCGCTCCTCTGCCCCGCAGCCCGGCACGGCCGACTCGCTGCTGTCCTTGCATGCCGCTGGCACACCGGGCTCTGCTTCAGCTTGAACGCCGGGAAAAGCAAAGGGCATAATTTTAGGAGAAGCGTGTGAAATGTGTTCTGGCAGATCAG